AGCTTGCTTAGCTTGGGTTCCTTTGAGATCAGGCCAAACTCAAAGAAAGGAAGTTATTACAGAAGTCTGGTGACCCTACTATTTGGTAGGGAGGTTCCTCAATCTCAAGAAGGGTGGATGCTAGCATGATAAACTAGTTACATATTTCCTTTTTCATAAAAACATATCTTTCTATTGCATTATCTCATAATCTCATCTTTTAATTATTTTTTTTTAATGAAATACAGTGTTTTGGAGCAGTATTACCGTGATGACAATGGTGATGATAGTTATGAGGACTCTGAAGACAATTCATGAAATAAGAAGTAAAGCAAGTTTTCTGTTTGTAGCTGCTACTCTGCCTACACTTTTTCTGTTAAAGTCTGTAATAATTGAAGACTTCGTTTGATATTATCTGAACCTTTGTTATGTTGTTCTTTTATGTCAATGTATTTGACTTGTTTCTATATTTTACTGTGCTTTCACTGCATTAATTGAAGACCTCATTCGATATTATCTGAAACTTTGTTATTGTTATGTTGTTGTTTTATGTTAATGTTTCATCCTTGTTTCTATATTTTATTGTACTTTCACTTCATCAATTTGAATTAACTTGACAAACAGTGTCATTATAATAGAGCAATATGTCACGGGGTGAGACTAGCTCCGATGGCATTTGTCTTGGAGGCGGAATCTAGCTCGACCTTGTGCGGCACTTAGCTCGGAATTAACCCCGTTAAACCCGAACCAAGTTAGCCTTCCCAACACTTGGCGTGGCCCTCTAACTGGGCTCGAGGTTAGCAACACAAACACGAAGGTAGGAAGTTGGGAGAAGAAGAGAATTTATTAAGATCGCAAGGGAGTGTACAAGAGCATGAGTACAAAGCCCCTCTCTGCATTTACTCACCTAGCAGCTCACTCACTAACTCTATCTCTATCTCTATCTCCTAGGGTCTACTAAGGCCACCCTTATTTATAGAAGAGGTCAGGCCCAAGAGCCCTCAGCTGGTGAGCCTTTAGAACACTCTACACAATTCCCTCATATTTACAATTGCTGGAAGCTTCTCCACTCTCCCTTCCTAGCCTAGCCTAGAATAATCTAGAACAAACCCATTCTAGAATATATACAAGGCCCTAGGAAGATCCCAAGTCGGGCTTGGCCCAAAAAGCCCATCCAGACCCTTGTTTTGTACTGTTCCCGCGCGCCCAGCAGCTTCTAGAATGTTCTAGGCCGCTCCAGTCCGTCACACAGGTGCGACACCATAATCTAGTGCATTTTACATGTGTCGACATTGTGTCTGTCGCTGGCATGGCACACGATGTGGACGCCCTTAGCCGCTCCCGCGTGCACCTGCATGTCTCGACCGCGACCCCATGCCACGGCCTTGGCATTGACACCGCCAACTCATGCCAGGCCCACCTCTTGAGTGTTCCATGTCACGCTCGTGCCTGCGCTTGTGCTTGCGCTCGCGCGCCCCAGTGCCTCGAGCCATTCCACACCCATGCGTGCCAGCACCTCGACCCAGCTTGCCCGTGCGTGCACTCGTGTCTCAGGCCAGGACACTCTCGCGCACCCACGGATGTCCCCAACTGCTCACGCACGCTCCCACACGTCCTGTCCGTAACTTCACACCACGGCCCCGGTATCGACGCCTCCGCTGGCAAGGCCCGCTGCGTCTTGCGCGATCTACCTTGCGCCTGCGTCCTCGTATGCTTACATGTCATAGTCGCAACCCTGTGTCGCGACACCGACACCTGCGTCCCGCATGCCCGCGTCCACGCTTGCACTTACGCCCGTGCTCGCGCCTGCCCTCGTGTCTGCGCTCGCACTCCGCTATGCTGCATGGCATGCCCCCTGGACGTTGCACACACCCCTAGTGTGCCCGTGGCTGCAGCTCCGTATCACGATGCCCATGACTTCAGTCCCCGAACTCGCGTGCCGTGACAAATAGCTAGCTAGTCGTTTTTAAAGACAGTGAGAGTGGTTTCAAAGCTTACAACGCCGCATGAGGCAGTAGGGCCAAAGAAGCCAAACATGGTAACGAGTGCAAAGTAGGAACTATAGAGGAGAAGAAAGAACCAAGCGAGAAAAGTGAACGCTGATTCTCTATTAAGAAAAATAGGGATGCCAATTTCAAGTATTTGGCACTACCCATAATGGTGCAAAAAGGTAGTTTGGAGCTTAACGATGTTTTTTCTACAGTATTCAAGGATTCGGCACTACCCATAATGGTGGAGTCGAAACATATTCGCTACTGAGATTGAGTTCTCCAAATTCTTTGATTCTCCCATCGCCCAAGTTGAAGATGCCAAAATCAAAACCACCAAAATAATCCTCCTGCCAACATTCTATCTGAAAATCGGTGTAGTAGATGCAATTTCTTTTAAGTTTTGGAACACCTACATTTGGTATCAGGACTGAGGCATTATACCCTAAAAACATCACGTTATCACCTAAATGTGTAATCTTAGACCACTTGAGCATTTCTTCGCCTGACTTGGATTTTAGCAAGTAAATCTTAAATCTAGACGTTTTGTAGTGCACCACTTCATCAGATTCATCACCATCAGGTTCATCATCATCATCATAAATGTAATACCTTTCCACCATCATCAGGCCATTATTAGATCCGACCAAATTTAACTCAGTATAATTCCTCAAACGGGGTATTTTTGCTTCAATCAATGAAAATTTTGGCAATGAAGTCGTGTCAGAAATTAGCAGCTCGCCATAAGACTCTAAAGCATAAATCTTGTCTTTGTAGAAGATAACATCCTCAAAACCATGTCGATTACATGTTTCTGCTGCTGTCCATTTGTTGTCATTGCGCTTGCAAAATGCCAAACAGCGGTGCTCACCAAATATTGCTATTGCCAAATAATCATCATGTGGAGGTGAGGATAATACAAGCTTCTTAATGTACACCTCTCGCATGTAAGCTTGACTCCACTGCCTTGTTACCCCGTGCAGACAATTAATTATAGTATATTCTTTATCTTTGTCATCAGGACAGTAACTCTTCATATCAGGAAAGGTGTCCAGAGGAGGAAGAGTGATTTTAAACTTGGTGAGAGGATTGAAAAGACAAAGTGCCGGACTCATTTCAAGTATTACCAGCCACCCATAACAAGATCCACGAAAGAGCTTGCCTCTAGTCTCCGATAGCTCCAAGTGATATACCTTGTCATCAAGGATGCTATAGAAACCGCGACTTGTTTGTGTCTCATCATCAAAAGGTAACATTAGCCACGGTATTTGCTTGAATAGATGAGTAGGGCTCTTTGGTATGGCAGAATTCCATGATGAACATATAGCACCTAATCGGACATAATCAACATATGATTCAAGACGTTGGCTAATTGCTATTATCAAATCACACGGTAGCTCCTCCCATCTAGCCATGTCTGCATATTCT